GGGGGGGACATAATATATGGATATATATATACATATGGACATATACATATGGATATTTTGCAAATGGACTCTATGATATTTGCTTCACAAAATTGCCTAACAATGTATTCCGTACACCATATCCCAGGCATTAAGTGCTGCAGTAGAGTAGTGTCTTCTGCAAATCCACAAAGACCATCAGTCTGCTATAAAGTGGTCTTATACAACATGACTTACCACAGTGTGTCCCATCTATTGTCATCTCGTGTCATTTTCCGGGGCAAATGACTACAGAGAACCTACGTAGCAAAGTGGCAAAACCTACCGCTACGGCTATCTGACCGAGAACTACTTAAGTTCTTGTGAGAGGCAATTTATATTTGTTTCCTTCTAGGGTTCCAGAGTCTCTCCTCAAAGCCAAGAGTCCAGGATCTCACCAAAATCTCCTCCACTCAGAGTCTAAACTTTAAATTAAGTCTAGGTAGAGACGAGCAGAGGGGATGTAAATCTTTAAGTAGAGTCCCTGGGACACATTTCTCTGTCTGTGAACCCCGTGCGAAGATCTGCTCAAGAGTACTCAGCATTACTCTTACAGGCATTTCTCCTCTTCAAAACCTTCCAAGCTCTTCCCATTTGTCAACTCATAATTGTTTCCCAGTTATATGTCGCAACAGTATCCTAATTACAAGAGTCAATATCTCTATACTTTGTAACAAGTGGTCCCAAGTTTCCAAGGCTCAGGGGTTCCTGTAAAGCTATACTGAGTTCTCTGCTCAAACCTTTCCTCGCCCACACCAAGTTTAGCTAGGGCTTATTCTCAAGGTCAAAACACCTGCAGTCCACTGTGATGGCTAATACCAGCTTCCTCTACCACCTGCAATGTGAATGATCCAACAGCCTCCTCTTTTCTATCCTTTACTACTAGGTTATCTTTGGACCTTTCTCATTTTTACTGTCTAATAATTGTGATATTAGGCATATAATTGTGATAATAATAATGATAGCTGAAAAAAGTCATGTCATAGAGCTTAGGCTTTGTATTTGAAAATAATTAAAAGCTATTATAAACACGATTGCTATAGTTAATTTGTTCCCAAATTACTTGGTAATTTTTATGCTGATTCAATGTAATGTATTAATTTAGAAGTTAAACAGAGCATTAAAATATCCAAGGATAGATGAGATTTTAATATCACAAATACTTACAACTTTTCAAATGGTGAACTTGCCCTTCCTTCTCCTTAAATTCAGCTATTACATGCTGACTGAAAGCAAAATGTCTTAGTAAGGTTGGCTGACATATTTAGTTAGTGAAGAGCTGATGAGGAATAGTTATTGGGTATGAATTTTCCTAAGAGGAGTATATAACCTTGGAACAAGAGATTAGTTCAAATGAAACATTAAATTACACATATTTCTGATTGGCATGTTTACTTGTAAGTTCTTATTCCTTAAACATAAAAATGTGCACTATTACTTTGATGTTGCCTGCTTCTTTAAAAACACAGTTAAATGTTACAACAAAGCATCCTCATACTGTTTTATTATACACCACATTTTTTATTACTTCTGGACAACTGCAGAGACTTTAGCTTTTGTGAATATATAATAAGACCATAAAGTGGAGAATGAATTGAAATGAAGTGGAATTCATTGTAAGGTGAATAGTTTTGAAAGAGTGACCTATATAGGGAGAATACATTTTACGTAACCACATATATATTTCATAATGTTCCTTTTCTAGTTAAGAGTGTACTTTTTATTATACCAAGTACTCAGAGGTGGAAATGAGATTTCCCATAAAATAACTGTTGAATTTTACATTGGGGATACAGAAATTGCTGGAGTAGAGACAAGATAGTGTGATTTAAAGTGAAAGTGAAATGTATGTTTCTTAGCAAAGAGAATGTGTTACAAATCCTTTCCTTGATTGGGTTATTCTATTACATTTAATGAAATATACACATCAGAAGAGATGGAGCTGTTGATTGGTGACATATACTGAAAGTGAATCCTTTTCAATGCGATAAAAAGAGTCATAAATTAATTCTCTCTTAAAAGAGTCTCAATAGTTCTATTGGGAGACTCACACTTACAGTCACTGCTGTACATTAGGATGCATGCATGGAAGAAGACATTGCTTATTTCAGGCTGGCAACGGAGCAGAGATGGATCTGGCCATGCTCTCTGTCTCCTTTCCGAAGAGCCTAGGTTAGTCAACCTTAGCAGAAGACGTGTGACATAGTCCTGCCTGCCCATATTGGAGATAATCATGTACTGGAATAATCAAATATGATTTTTAACATTCTTGATTGAAAACATCACTCTCCACCCAAAATCACACAGGCACACAAGCCTGTGCATGGTCCACAAACTCTTCACTGATGATCTTGGCTCCTAAGGACAGAATCAGAGCACTGCACAATCTGAAGGTGAGGAAATTGAACTTGTGGAGCGGTCCCATCAGGTTCCATTTGCCTCTGATTTTAGGAGAGACGCTATTGGAAGAGGCCAATGTAAATGGCCTAAGGAACCTAGGGATCCTGAAACTTCTCAGTGGTGTATGGTGTAATGAAATCTCTATGTAACTGATGATGGATGAATAGATGGATGAGAGAGAGAGAGAGAGAGAGAGAGAGAGAGAGATCATCAAATTACTATATATTTTTCCTGCTTACAGTACTTTCAGAACATCGTATTTCCCAGTTCTCCTCTCACCTTATAGTTTTACATTTTCCAAGTTTAAGGGTCTGTCTTGAACTTTAAACTCTTGTTTTAACAGTTCCAGACTCAGAAGCCTTCTACGAATATTTATTATGACCCCATTTGCTTTGCCTAGTTGCCAAAGTCTTCTACATTCACATTTCTACTTGTACCATTGTCCATATTTCTTCATCTATTCATAGGTCTTTATATATTTAACTGTATATTTATTTGGATGCGTATGTTTTCCTCCAGTGTCAGTTTCGACCCTTAAGTATCATGAATCAGGTAGGGCGCTATAATTTTTTGTTCTTTAAATGCTATATCCTCAGTAAAAGTAAATTTGTAGCATAGCTTGTCTTTTACTCTTTCTTGCATTTGTATTCTAATCATTAATGTCCTAATGCATTCAAAGTATGTTAACTATTTAAATAATAAAACATACTAAACATATTAGCAACCATGATTGAAAAAACATTTTGAGTGTTATTGAAAAGCAATACTAGTAAATTATATTTTAATATTGACCACGTGCAAGACACAATGCTAAGTGCTTTTAACAATTATAACACAAAAGGTAGAATTCCAGACTTCAAGAAGGGTTTAAACAACTCCACCTCAAACAATCAAAGTAGCAATGGTTCAAAGAACAAAAGCTAATTATGAAATCTTAATGCTAACTATTGGGATAAATGAAATTATGTGGTATTTTTGTCTAACAGTCCATACTTTAAAAAACTTTGAATGTTCAAATATTTCAAAATGTTACCCCTTCAAAAGTGTATTTACCAGCCAATCTTAGCTTTTTACAATTTATAACATAACAGATAAGATTTATTTAATTTGTAATTCATACCCAAATATATTTGGTGTCTTATTTATACCTGGTGTTCTACATAATATGTGTATATGTGTGTGGTATGTAAATTTTGAAAGTCTTTACCTGTTATTTTCCTTTTTCCCTCTCTACAGGATTCAAGCACAACAACTTATAGGAAGAAAACATATCACCAAATATTGATAGAGGAAATTTAAAGGTAAACCTTTTAAACCTGCTATATAAAAAAGTTGTATAGTAATGTCAATATTGTCATCCTGTTTCTGTTAGACTGTCTATAGCTATTCTGAGCTAGTTAGAGATTAGCAGGATGAATTTTCTTCTGCGCTTTAAAAATCTCATTTTCAATATTAGCTAGCTCATCATTTTCTTTAATAAATTACTGACCTTTTTCTCCTAAACATACTTTTCAAATATCAGAGACCCACCAAGGTGGATTTGTTAAGTTTTATAAGAGACTTTGTAAAATTTCGTTGGAAGCTTTCTTTAAAAGCTTAAAGCAAGAGCAGTTTGGCATGAATAATCATTTACTTTCATAAATTAGATTGATAAATAAGGTTTATTACAACAAAATATTCTTTGACTGATACTTATAGTAAGTGTGGGTTTTGAAAAAGTTAATGGTTCACAATGGGTACAATATATCTCCTATTATTTTAATGATTGAAATATCTGATATAAAAGTACTTTTAATAGTAATAAATGGTTTGAGAAGTTGAATTTCTCATCAAAGGTGAAATAATTAGGAAAATAATTGTTTTAGCTTACCAAGCATAAAACATACTTCATCACAAATATGCTATGTACTGTCTGAGGTTTAGACATATGTACACTTTTTCATCACTTACATAAATGCAAATATCAAAATACTCATATTTCAAAACACTAGATGTCTTTAGGATCAAAGTCTATGACTTTTTATTATGGTCATCACTTTTAAAGATTACTCTAAAAGTGAATCTGTCCTTTTGGTAGTATATAAAATGAGAGCAACAGTAAAAATTAAACCAAAGTACACCTCATTCCATGAGCAAATATAGTTATCACACAGCAGGAGACTAGAAACCTCCTGCTTTTTGCCTCCTATGTGTGACCTCAGTCCTTCTCAGAAGTCTGTCATTTATGGTGTTAGAAAATTTAAACCAGGCTGAAATTTCTAAATACAGGTTCAGAATGTTACAGTGGCAATACAATCATATTGTTTTTTAAGTGCAGCACTCATGGGAGCAAATACAAACAGAACATGCGAACCATGTTATAAAAAAATCAAGTGACATGAAAAGTTAATTATCATCAGTTAATCACTTCATGACAAGGAAGCAAAGCTTCCCCTGTCATCATGTGTAAACTGTATTAGTAGAGGAAAGCACAGTGGGTTTGAGTGTGTGTGCATGCAAAATTGTATATCTACTTTCATGCCTAGCAAGCAAATTTAAAATGCTTAACACTAAAAATTAAAATATTAATTCTTAATTTATTATTTATTTATCATATTTAGATTTTATGACTCTAACCTCAGGGCTGTGACTGTGAGCTGAATTATGTTTAAATTGAGTCATTTGTTCTTCAGATTGGAGCTAAGTTCCATAGCACAACTTCAGAGAGAACTATTGTAGACATGGTAGAACATCACAAAATATATTTTTCTGGGATGAATATTCCTCACAGTTTAATGTTAGCCCAAGTTTCACTGGCAAGTTTCAAATTTTTACAGAGTTCTAATCAATATAAAGAAAAACAATATGATAATGTTTACCTGTTGAATTTAATGTGGATACATTTGTCAGGTTCCATTATTTTTAAAATAGAACAAAACAAAAAATTGAAACAGAAAGCTGAGAAATGAGAGTTTACACTAATTATCTTATCATAGTGAAACTAACAAGGGATTTATGTTGACCTTATATTAAATCTCACCTGATCTCTGGCTCTTTAAAGTCATATTTGGACTGTAACATAACATTTTGATATCTATATATAAATGTCTATAAACTGGCTATTATAGACATTTATGCTCAGTGTATGTCAAAACAATTTTTATGGATCATTGGTTATTTTTATAATTGTTGGCAATCAAGTAATGAATGTTTATTTTATCATTTAATATTCATTCCCCTATTTTATCTTCCTAACAATGTAAGTATCTATGTCTATTTCAAACAGTTGATATTAGGATTAAAGATAATTCATGTGCCGTGCTCACACAAGAGTAGTTTTTTTTTTAATCTCCCTGGACTTCTTTAGTTCAATACATAAATATTCTCATGTTATGAAAAGCAATAAAATAAATTTGAATAAGTAAATGATTAACTTTATGCTTGCCATATATAATATACCGTTAAATATTGTAGTCGCTGATATTTATTTATGACCTCCAGGAGATGAATGGTGTCCATTATTTCATATACTCTTCAAAATTACCTGATTAAATTTTTAATTATTATTCTTCACAAGACGGGATAAATCTGTAATGAGGTGATATTATGATTTTAGTTTTTTTCTTGTAAATATAACCAGAGGGCAATTATCTTGTGCCTTTGTGCACATTTGAATTATTAAGAACAGAGCAGTAAATCTGGTCAGCAATAAACAATCAGCAAAGACTCTCTTCACAAAAGGACTGACTTGCTTATCTTGTTGGTTTTCAACTGGTAGAAAATTT